AGCTCCAAGGACGTTTCTGTCATTTGTTTGTAGAGCTCAGCCCCACGTGTTTACCCAGATTCATTGGTCCTTCCAGTCAGATGATTTCTGGTAGGTATTAGCTCTGCTAATTCAGTTGCTCATCTAGAGTTTCTTGATTATTATTCCACTCCAGGTGGCTGCGTGGGCAGGCTTGCAATTGCTCTTTTTAGCACCGTCCAATATAGAACAGTTTGTCTTTTTTATAGAAATACATCAAAGAGTAATTTAAACAAAACCTCCCTTCTGGCAAACTGTTCACCAGTCTGAAACCCCTCATAACAATTCCTGCCTGTTTGAAACCCTAAGATGAAAACCCTCATGCAGCAGCTTATTTCTTTAGTAACTTTATTCCTAAAAAGCAAGCTAGCTTGTTTTTTAGCAACTCATCCTTCTCCCATGAGGAAAGAGGGGTACCCCCATGAGGTGAGTACCCCTTGGATATTGCAATTCACAGAATACTGGGAGTTGGAAGGGACCTCAAAAGATCATCCAGTCCAACCCCCCTGCTGGAGCAGGATCACCTAGATGAGGTGGTACCAAATGTATCCAATGTACCAATGGTATCGCCTTGCTTCATCACCCCTGAGGGCTTTTTTTCTTGCTTTTATTGGATTTTGATGCTAACAGGTTTCAGAAAACTCTAAACAGCCCCAGCTGAAAAAAACTCCAGAATAAACAAACACAAGATTACATCTTCATCAGAGCAGTCAGCAGCCATAAACTTGACAGGATGTGACTTGAAGGCCTTGGCAGAGTTGCGCTGCATTTCTGGAGGCTGGTATAGTTTGTCACCCACCATTCAAGAGATTTACTGCTGTCAGCATCACCCACCCAAACTTTATCCCATATTGCCTTGCTCCTTGTGGTGTTCCTTTTCTCTTAAACCAACTCAGGATGGAGCAAGGAGCCCTCTGGGTACAGACAGGCGCTTTTTTTGTTGAGAAAAATTCATTTTCTCACACACTGCTTGCACCTGAGAATGGGGCTGTGCAATCCTTGCCTTTTTTCCTGTGACAGCTGATGTACCTTGCATTTTTATGCGCACAACCACTTAGGAATGGTTTGTGCATAAAATGTGCATGAGCCATTTGCGTGCCCTGATACAATTCTGTGGCTGAGGGAAGGTACTGGTTGATAAATGCGTATATTTGAAAGGATAAAGTCACTTTTTTATAGGGATTTCAACAGCTTAAGATGCAGAGTTAAGAAAAATGGGGGGATCTAGGAAAAATGCTTTGGGGGTGTTTTTGAAAACCTCTCCAGCCCTTTGAGGCACCCGAGTTTCAAATGGGACCCTTCTTTCTTTCCTGGAGTCGGTGCTAAATTTTGAATCCAGACTCTTAACAGGTTGAATGCAAAAAAATGGCATTAGTGCAACTTTGTATCAGGGATTAGCTGTCCAAGGTCATTTTTAGCCTGGAGAAATAAAGTTAAGCTTTATTTATATAAGGCTGATTTGGAAAAAAAAAAGTTTCTTCCCACAGGATCGTTGGAAAGAGGCAAATTTAGAGAAGAATGCTTTCTTGGACAGCTTTGTGGCATTCGGAGGAGGGAAGCATCAGTGTCCAGGAAGGTCAGTGAAACAGCTGGGGTTTATTTATTCCCAAACCCTGCAGAGATCAACTCTCTTGAACTGGGCTCCTCTTACACTTGGAGATGAAGTGTTTTCATTGCTTTGTCAGTCCCCTAACGTTCAGTATTTTCTGGACCTTCTTTAAACTGATCTGAAAGTGGTTTCATTCCTGAGAAAGACAGGTTAAGCCATGATGTAAAAGCAGAATCTGAGACTGGTGTACCAAAGGTTATCCTCTAGGGAGGAGAGGCCTCTGCTGCTGCTGAGGCACCTTTTTGTCAAGGGAGAGTTGTTCCACTTACAAACGTGCCAGTTTACAGACACAGGCTTTTAGGTTGCCACAAACCAGATCTAAACTGACCTAAAACCCCCACTTCTCTGGCCTGAGACTTTTCCCATCCTCTGTGATGCCATGGACATCTTTGCTAATCTTCACATGTCTTAATTGGCTTCACTCTGTTTAAATCTTGTCTTTGCATTAAGGCCCACACGCAATTGTACGATGGCTTAAATTGCAGATCCTGTCTCCCTCCACTTCTCCAGCAATGCCAGCCTCGGTGCTTCCTGCATTCCTTCTGCTGTTTTCTCTGCTGTCCCTCTTCCTGGACCAAGTCCCAGGGAGGCAGCTGCTCCTCGTTTCTGTGTTCAAACATCTCCATGCTCAATTCTCAGCCTTCAAAATCTGGTCTCCCCTAAGAGGCGAGTCACCAGGAATCCTTAAAACCAGTCAGTTTAACTCAAGAGTGGAGCGAGGAGTCTAGAGGGTGTTGCAAAGGATCTGCATTCTTGAATCTGCGCCTGATAGCGGGCTGGTCGTGGCTGTCAGATAAACTTTGTGAAGGCATTAAAGACATTAAAAAAAAACCAATAAGGCTGCATTCACCATTTAGGCTTGCCAGAGGAAAGTGCTCCCTCGCTGCTGTACCTCGGTGGTTTGTACCATATTCCTGAGCTAAATATGAGCACAGCTTCACTCCCAGCGAGGGCGACAGCAGAATTCACAAGAGGCATCTGCAGGTACAGGACAAGCTGCAAAACAGTGTTTCTGAAAGCAGCTTGTTTATATATACTGACCTATTTCTTTGTTCAGGCTGTTCTCTGATAATATCTTTAAAATAAGGTTGTGGTTAGAAAGAAAATGATAACATTTCTATGTAGACAACGAATGGAGAATCTTTTTCTTGCTGAGAGACAAAAAGTCCTTTCCAACCCTTGGCAGTCCGCATGGTAACACATGAAGGAGTTCATGTTTTTCAGCAATAATTCTAAAAGAATACTGTGGTGGGCTTGGAAGAAAGAAAATTAAGTTAAGGGATGTGTCTAGATCCTAGGTTGTAGATTTCCTTGGTATGAGTGAATGAAACGACGATATTTCAAGTTTAAGATGCATTTTCATTTAATTCAGTACTGGGATTTATAAATGAAAAGTATTAAACATTTTATTTCTCCATTGCATAAGTTCATAATGAAATTAAAAGCTAATTTAATCAAACTGAAAGCTAGAAAATAACTTACTTGTCAAATATTCTAGCAAACTGACATGGGAAGAGCTCCCACAAAGCCATTTCTTTTTACCTAAAGGAAAAATTTGATGGCAGTGAAGCTGCTTTTCTTTAACCAGGTGACAAGGGCCATGATTTCATTCTCTGACTCCATTTACTGCAGGACCTCAACCCACAGCTGGGCTCCTGGCTTCCAGCACAACACCAGTACATAGCAGCGCATTGCAGGCAAGATTTCAGAAAGCACATCCTTGTTAAACCCCCTTGTCACTAAATAAAACAAGAAGGCACCAGTGACTCAGAGTCTGTAGAGGAAAACTGCTCTAGGACTTAGTCATGAATATGAAAGACAAGTGGGAACTGAGGGGCATTCAGCTGCAAGAAAGCTCACGGCTTCTGCTCAGTACAAGGTGCGGTAGGACAGAGGGATGCATTTGGATGCTGCAGTCCTGCCTTTCACTCCTGGGCTGTCCCTCTGCCCACCCTCAGACATGGGTGTCACTTATCGTCCTTGTGTCTCAGCATCTCTCTTTGCAGAGCAGAGTAACAGCAGCCCATTGGGAAAGGCACTTTGAGATCTCACAGTGGAAGTGCTGCAGTCAGTTATGGGTTATATCCACTGCCACTTGGACAGGTTGCAGATGAACCCCGCTGTGGGTATGGAGATGTCAGGGCTGGTCAGCTCACGTCCAGCTGTGCTTGTGTTTGAAGGACAGCCCTCTGTAAATCCAGCATTTCCATGATCACAGCAACCTAGAGGCATTTTGGCGTTTGGTTTCGTCATGGTACATCCATGCCAAACCAGTGAGGGTGGCTCAGGGGCAGGACCTCATGCACCAGGGGTCCAGGGCCGCACTGTGCAACCAGTGCAGTGACTGTAAGGAGCCCACCTTTGTGTGGTGCCACTGGCATGGAGTTTGGGCTGGCAAGTCCTGCCTGACCTGAGCTAAATTCCATTGAAATATCTCTGCACTGTATTCCCCTGAGCTCAAGGTCACCAAAAGCTCCCTATCCCAAGGTAATTCCAATGTGAAATCACAGAGATAATTTGGGTCTGAAGCTACGCCAAAACAAATGAGCATCCTCCCACTCTGGAGCACGGGGCGGCTCAGCGCGTGGATCTGGATGGCTTTGCCTGAGTTAGTTTGGGTCTCATGGGGCTGATCAGCTTCCTCTTCACACCTGCCAGCCCAAATCCAGGCTGACGCCATGTGCAGTTGTGTGGCCTTCTCCCCAGCGAATTCCCCAATAGCTCTTTTATCCAAGTTTTCCAGCATCTCTCAGATGATGGAAAATAAACTGGGTAGAAGAGAAAAGTAGTAGTACTGATTTCAGCAGGTATTTAAGACTTAGGTCTGAATTCTGCAAGTGAGTAATCCCATGACCTGGCATAGGTGTATGCTAGCGCCTGAATGCAGGAAGCTCTTGTATATATCGACATTAAAAATAATAGCCTAGAGGAGTTCACCTGCAGGTATCTGAAATCTTCTCCGGACTGACTAAGAAAGACCTTTCTTGAGAGCGTTACAGAAAAAACCCCCATGCCCTTGGGTCTCATGCTGCATTCTAATGCTGACGCATTAAATAATGACTCCCGCTGTCACAGCGACTCTGATGTCATCAGGCTCCCAGCTGTATTATATAACTTTATATAGCACAATTAGTCATGTAGCCTTTTCTATCTTTGACTGTCTTCTCACCCCTATGAAGTTATTTCAAGTCAGCAAGTGTTAGAAGAACATAAATGTTTACACAGTGGAAAAAAACCATAATGATAAGGGGCTGTTTTAAAATAGGGTGCCAGAGGGATACTGTCGGTCTAAAGTTTCACCGGAAAGAAGGGGCAGCCGCTACATTCGTGTTCTTCACTGAGTGATGAAGCTGAACAAAGCCACAGCATATTTTCCTAACGAAGATAAACTTTCAGGCAGAACAAAAGCCTGGAATGTGAAATGTGTCAAAGACACCCTGGTTCTTATCTGATGATAACACACGTGGGACGCTCAGGCTGGACGGGTGATGTTTTCCTCTCTTTTCTTGCAGGTGGTTTGCGATCATGGAAATCCAGTTGTTCGTTGTGCTGTTCCTATACAAATACGAATTTGTGCTTTTGGATGCAGTACCAAAGGAGGTAAAAGATGCGTGCATTTATATAGCATTCCACATCTTTATAGCCTTCATTCATCATGCTTAGCTGAACAAGCATGCTCAACTATGGTTATGTATAATGAAGCAAAATTTTGAGCCGAGTGTTAATAAAACATGTAATGAATAACGCTGTTAGGAATACAAAACAGTGTAATGAATAACATGTTAAAAAAGCATGTAATTAATAACTCAAACTTCATTTTAACTCAGAAAACCCAGAGTAACTCCAGCAATGCTGGTGGGACTGTACTGGCTATACAAGAATGCAGCTACAAGAGTATTTTGTCTCCTCGTTGCCTAAACATTACAAGAGATTGTATAATTGCTTTCTGCCACTCACAGAGACAATTAATATGGAACTGGATTATTAATATTTTAAAGATATTAAATCAGATGCAAGCACTCACAGTGCTCTTCCACTACATACTCAGTGGTGGAAGAGAAATGATTACAGCAAGACTGAAGGAGCAACTGAGATACAGAAAGGTTTCACCGTTAAGGGAGAGTAGTGCAGTCTCCTCTCCCAGCACTCATTTCCTGCTCCATTTGCACTGTGTCCTTTCCTCTTGTGAAAAATCATTCCTCACAAACATAGAATGCTGCTAAATGAGCACATCTACCTGTCACAACCTAAACATGGCACACATGCCCTACAGCTGAACTGCCAAGGAGAAGGTGGTGAAGTTTAGAGTTGCGTGAACTGTGTATGATTGCCCTGTAGGCTGGAAGCTGAGAGAACTTACTTCCCTGCTGTCCTTGAAGAATGTGAGATATTGATCTCAAGAAGTGGTAGAAAGTCAGCCCAGAAATTGGAGGTTGCCTTGTCCTGACTGATGGTGTGTTGCCACGGCAGCTTTCACTGGAGTTGACAGTAACTTGAGTCTGCACCCACAGTTAATTACGCTGCTGAAGATACTTAAAAGCACAAGAGTTTCTTAAGATCTCATGTATCCTCCTCTGTCAGAGTGAATAGAATAAAAAGTAATCATGAAGGCCCTACTCAGTGGCTTCAGCAAAGCCAAGAAATACTCTCAGTATTTGGTCTTGGTTCTCTAAGACCAAAACTCCAAGAATATGTTTTTATCTTAACATTAAAGCGCGATGATAATTCCATTAACTGAACCAACTTAAATGTTTCTACTGTTTTTCTTTTTTGCAGAGCCCTTTACATTTGGTGGGGACACAGCAGCCCACGGCACCATTCCGAGTGCAGTATAAATGCCGGGAATGAAAGCTGCCCAGCGCTCACTGCCCTTCCTTTGCCAGCCACACCTGAACAGCTGAGCTCGGAACCGCTGAGCTGCTTCCCTATCCTACGTCTTCAGATAGGGTCTGTGCCTTAACAGCTCTTAATTTCAACTTTAAATGCTGTACATACTCTGCGTTGTGGTGTGCCATACCAGTATAGTCATATCCGTGCTCCTCACCTGGTTGCCTACCTCCTAGTATTTAAAAATCAAGCTCTCCTGCTGCATTCATAATTTGTGGGCCATTTATTCGCAGACTTTGCAAATCTGGTGTACTAAACTCACCAACCAGGCATTCCGGACAAAAACCTGCGACGTTTGGAAATCCTGCATGGAAGTTGTGCTGGAACCAGCGGAAAAGCAGCTCCCTTGGGCCAGGTCACTGCTTCCTGCAGGTCTCTGAACCAAGGCCAAGGCGGTGCCTTGTGGTAACCCTGGTGCTGGTGTGCACAAAGTACAGGACAGCGCTGAGCAGAGACCTCCGAACCAGATCCGCAGCCACAATGAATTATCATGGTTTATGTATCCCTGCCTGTGTAGGTAGGTGAAGATCTGGCCTGCTCTCTCTACAATTGATGCCTTTCTGCAAATAAAATGCACTTGTAATGGAAAAGTTGCAAGCATGGGAAACACTGGGGTCTTGTTCACTGGAGCACCTAAAATTTCTGCTGAGCTTTATTTGCTCCACAGGATTCAGACTTGGTCCTTGCATGAATATGCAATGAAAAATTTGATTGTGATGTTTGGTTTCTAATGAAAAGTAATTGCAGGAAAAGCTATTGCTATTCATTAGGCTGCTTGTCTAATATCTAGAACATTTTTGCTTTCCCTTTAACATGACTTACTTAAGACCAAATTGCCCAAATCTAAAAATATTTAATCTTATAAAGAATACCTAGTAAAAGTTGTTCAAAGAAGCTGTCAAATAAGTTCAGATACCAACACTTTAACTTCTGTCCGAATTCACATATGATAATAGCTGGCATGTATTTTTGGTCTGTTAAGTAAAGATTATTCATCATTTTAGAAGTATCTGCAAAACAACACCTACAAATAGACTTTCAACAACAGTAAAAACTATGGGAATAACATCCACGGGACAATAACACATTGTATGATTAATTAAATGGTTGGCTTACCTCCGTTATGGGTACAACAATTTAACAAACTTCAGTGATTTATATGGCTGGAAAATGCTTCAGCCAACTTCTAATTTAGCTCATAATGGTTAACTCTGCAAGAGCTGCACCCTGAACTGCTGTTTCAGAGTGTCTTCCACAGCTGAAAACTATTCCTTTGGTTTTTGGTGTGGTCATTACCCAGAAGTCAATATTTTAATTTTAAAATTTGGAAAAGTCCACAGTCAGTGTTTGTTCAGGTATCTTGTGGTATTGTGAAGATATTTTTTTTTCCACTATGTGCATTTCTTTTTCTGTTTAATTAATGTTGGAGCTTAGGGGTTTTTTGTGTGTGCGGTTTTGTTTAGGTTGTTGTTTCCCCCCCGCCCCCAAGAGAAGTAACTCAAAAAAGCAAAATTCTGTAACTACAAACTTGTCTTTAAAGTAAAAGGTCCCTAAAGGCAAGTGTAACCTGAGGGTCAGCACCAATTTGGTTAGAAGGAATAAAAGGCACCTGAAGCCACCTGTGAAGGTGTACGAACACATCACTGCACGTGGGTTCTAACGTGTCCTAAACACTATCACAGTTCTGGTGTAGCTTCTGCACATTGCTGAGTGTTTCAGACTTGGTGTGATCCTGTGCCTGCTGAGAACTGCATTCTCCTGCCTTCCACATCCCACAGGAGAAGCTTATGTTAGGGTATGTGATAAAAACCACATTTTCCCCCATACACAAAGGAGAGGCGCAAAAGCAGGACCCTGACATCGCCCAACGCCTCTCGGGGCTGATGACAACGGGAGCAGCGCCCACCTTTTGGGCTGAGGGTGGAACCCCGGCTGCTCTGGGGGTTGACTGAGACCCGTTTGTACGTGTGTGTGTGCACGTGTGTTCCTATGGGCAGGAGACAGCTGGGGAGAGCAAGGATTCAGGACCAGCTACTGGAGGATGCATATGGCACATGTGTATTTTTATATGTGTTTTGCACACACGTTGTACCTGTGTTAGTGCAGGAGTGCTGGGGATTCCTGCTCAGCCTCGCTGCAGGCTGCACCCAGGGCCTCTGAACAGGCTACCGGATTTAGCAGCTCCCTAGAAGGCTAGAAAATACTTGTTTTGAAAGGTGGGATGTATTTTTATTGAAGTGTAGGCTTTTGGTGGGAAAGAAGTACTTGTTCTTGACAGTCAGAGAGATACCAAACAAGCAGGTGAAGAAAAGTGGGCTTGGATCCCGTCACTGTGTGACTGCCCTGCAGTGGATGACAGCTCTGTGAGCTTGCCATACTTCTCTAGGTAGAAAAAAGCAAAGGAGGTGGATTAGGAAAGCAATGTGGTGGTGAAGTGATAGAGCAAAATGGGGCCTTCTACCTGGAAACACTTCTGAAACTTCTGGGGGAGGGGAAGACAGCACTTTCCCAGCAGGAGAGGGTTAAATGGGATTAAAAGGTCATCACAGTACCCTACTCAGGAGCAGATTAACGGTATCTAAATTCTTCTTCTTCAAGTGTTTGTCCAGTCTGCTTTTAAATACAGAAGTGCTGAATTTCCATGGGGGATTTGTCCTCTTGCCTGACTCTTCCTACAGTTAGAAAGCTTTCCTACATATCAGTAGCAGGAGTTGGAATGAGGTTTTATTCATACCACTACCACAAGGGCGTATGAAGCAGGAGATTTTTAAGCCCCCAGAGAAAAAAAAAAGTCTTTTGACCTATCTTTGTATTTCTAGCTTCTGTATGAAGTATGGATGTTAAAGGGAATGCAGTGTGGCATGGACTACGTGTTGGTATTCGTTTGTGTTGGGATAAGTAACTCCCATGTCTAAGCCAGCGAAACAAATGCTAGGAGTCTTCTTAATGAGAGAGAGGAAATCTAGAGTTGTGAGAAATGAGCAATAAAACCCTTTTAAATCAAATTTCCTTTAATAATTTTTGAATTTAATTGTATATTAAAGAAGAGTTTCAGAAAAAAACCCACAGAAACTATCACACTCCAGCCAAACCTTTTTTGCTGCTTCTGAGGAAAGTATAAACAATTGCCCTGAAATGATAAATATAATATTTGACAGAATACTCATCAAGACATTTTGAGTTTAAATTGTTGACCGACCACAAGTGAACCTTCTCCAGTCGGTGTGGTGAAAAGATAACCCGTCCTATCAGCAGCCACCTCCCAGAATAAGCACCATTTCTTTTATGTCTTCCCTCTCATGAGCCCCACTGAAGGCCCCTCTCATCTGTACTTAGCAGTCAAGTATTTCAAGTGGTCTCTTTCTTTACACTGGTAACGGCATTCGGTATCTTTTCTGTGCCGCCGATTGTCACAGAAACCAGAAGTTTAGGCTTAGCACGTACACCTCCTGAAAATAGATATCTGGGGACTAAAAGATACGGCTGTAGCCATTCAGAGGTAAGCTAAAAATAATGACTTCCTTTAGAAAAGAAATTAATTCTAAGGCCCTAGCTCTGTGCCAAGCAAAACTCAACTTAAGCATGTGTCTTGTTTTAAGCAAACACTTAGAATGGATTTGCAGAATAAGACTGGGTTTCAATTTAAGCACACACTGAGCGCTTTGCTGAACCAAGGTCCAAAGGCCCCAGTTGCTTCCCAGTTGTTTACAGTTCAGTCTTCGCATCTGTGTTGTAACTTTAAAGATATACAAGGGTTAGTGGAAATACTGAGGAAGCTTTGCTCATTTTAGGTGAAACTGGCAAACGTGAAGGGCTTTTAGGAAAAATAGGTTTTTTTAACGGTCACATTTATAGCAGAAACCAGTAGGCTTTGTTGGCAGCAAGCATCTTTCCCAGTTACTTGGTACATTCTAAATGTGTGGCTCATCACATGGCAAAAAATACCTCTTCTCCACTGGTATGCAGTGGAAGGGGAATTAGACACAAGAGAGGCATTCGAAAGATAGCAAGCGTTTAATTGAACCAACCAAGGAGAAGCTTTCATCGTGTGGCCACTCTGAATGACATTGGACATGCAGCTGATTGGCACAGCACTATTTATTTTTCTCACTTTGATCATAAAATTACTAGGAAAGGCTTAATGGAGTTATAAATATCTTGTTTCCATGAGAGTCCTGGGAAGATAATTATAGCGCTGAAGTCCTTACAAAGATAGAGCATTTATAAAATGATATTATCTGAGGACTCCAATGGGCAACACAGGGAATTCTGCCTGTTCCCAGCTCTCCTATTGACTCACTGTGCTCTTTGGGCAAGTCACTTCACCCCTCAGTGACTCAGTTTCCTCCTCTATACATTGGGGTAATAATGATAATTACCCACTGCTGCAAAGTCTACATGGATTAAAAGTTGTAAGTATTGCTCATGCTCAACAGAGCACCCAAGCCTGCTTATGGCTAGTAATGGATGTCTGGGGGATTTTGGATAAGCTATGAGCTTTCCTCAACTGGGACTGTCATACTTGTGTTACTGTTAAATGACATTACTTGTAGAGTTAGTCAACATAGAAGAAATATTTTAAATCTCTTAGTTCACACTTTTTAAGATGCTGATGAAACAGCCGTATCCCAAACTCCTCAGGAATACTTTGTTGTTCATGCAAAGCTTGGAGTTTAAAGACTATGGACCAGTTCCTTGTTGAGTAAAGATACAATGTCCTTTCATAAAACCAACCACATCATAGGAGCCTTATCTAGAAGGTTGTTTAGCAGCTACCTGTGAGATAGGAACTACATCCATACTCTAACTTTCCTAAGTTGTATCAAGCTTTTTTTTACTCATATATTGCTTTTACTGCATTAGAAGTCTGATGCATTATCTTTCCCAAGTACCAAGCAGAATATTGGAGGATTAAGCATTGAGAGAGCTTAATGCACAAGTACAGTGCAACTATTACTGTT